AAACCACAACAGGTATTAGATTTAATTTTCAATTTCAATTTTCTTAGAAAAAGGACAGCATAAATCTGACTGACTGCTATACACAATTCTGAAATGTGGGCTTTAATTGAACACAAAAGAAAAAAAAGATATACAACTGTATCATAGTTTTTATTTTTATTGAACATGTAAAAAAGGTAACTGAAACCAATACATTTCCATGCTTTTATAAGAGTAGTTTATGCTGCAAGTTGTTGTCCAGTAACATGGACACCTTGCAAACAGAAAACCACCATGTTTTAGCTTTTATCAGACTTGATATTAATTGACATTTTCCTGGTGCTCATGATGCATTTATAAAGTCTTCATATTTACGATGCAGAGAAAATATAATACAGATGACAAACTCAGAGACACAAAGGGCTTCCGGATAATGACAGAACAGACTGCTGCCCTAAGAAACCTACGCCTGGTGGCATAACTGGTGATTTCCAGGCATACGGGGCAGGAAGTGCATGCATTAGTATGGATGGATCAGGAGGTCAAGTATTTCTCCAGTCAATTGTGTATGTATGAATAATTTAAATAGATATTGTTGAGATGATTTTTCTCGACTTTATAATGAGAGGATCTGAAGATTATGTCTATAGGTTGAACTTGATGGACTGTGTCTTTTTTCAACCTGACTAACTATGTAGCTATGTAAGATTCACTAAACACTATTTGAGGATTGGAGGACATCATAAGATTACTGATTACTACACTGCTAGCACCATAGGGACCTAAGTTCATATCTCCCAACTTTCCCAGATAGGCAAGAAGGGACACTTTCCAGCACAATGAATGTAGGCAATGGATGCACCCCTGTCACACCCACACCAGCAAGGATTTTTATGCCAAAAATGATTGGTTAAACCCACAATTGTTTTTCACCAATACTTTTTAATTTATAATGGTTTTATAATTGTTTTATAAATAAATTTAGAGATGGTATTAAAATTTTAGTACAAAATAACACTTTTAGTAATAAAGTAGTACATTTGCATAGAGCTCTATACATCAGGGCAAAAAGTGGGACACAAGGAAAAAAACAGAGAGCCTCCATAGTGGAAAAGGGTAATTTATTTGTACAACACACAAATTAAATTGTACTTACAGGAAAGTCGGTGGTTAAAAACATACAAAAAGCGATGAAATATAAAATCTCTAGCAGCGGAAGTCAGAAGGAATACAGCACATCAGCGTGAACTCACGGGGGCAGAGGACGCTGATGTGCTGTATTCCTTCAGACTTCCGCTGCTAGAGATTTTATATTTCATCGCTTTTTGTATGCTTTTAACCACCGACTTTCCTGTAAGTACAATTTAATTTGCGTTTCGTACAAATAAATTACCCTTTTACACTATGGAGGCGCTCTGTTTTGTTCCTTGTTTCCCAGATCGATGGTCTTTTTGACCGGTGGGAGCTGCCTCTTGGGTGTTTTAACCAACTTTACAGCTGGCCCGTCTTGCAACCGGAGGCACCGGTATTGTTTTTTTCGTTGCAAAAAGTGGGACACCTGAGGAGGAGAAAGGGACAAAGCAATTTGGTTCTAAAAGAGGGACAGTTCCTTCAAATGAGGGTCATTAACTCCAAAGGAGGGACAGTTGGGAGCTAGTCCTAAGCATGACATACTGCTTAACAAAAATAGATACTTCTGTGAAAATCCCAGATAGCTGATTCCTCTGTGGATTGACCACCACTGAACTTCACTCAATACAGCTTCACAATACAGTATATTTTTGGTAATTTGAGTGAATCTGAAACAAGGTTTAATTTACAAAATGTTCATATTCAGGACTGTGGGAAAGTTTTGCTTTATTTAAAATAATCAATTATAGACAGTAAAAATACACTAGTCCATCCTACCTAGGCCCCTAGCTTCAGTTCTATAGCCATGAGCTCCTCCACTATTTATCTCCATTGGCCCAAACCCTTCTTTATTGCTGGCTGTGCCCATGAAGTGAACCATCTCAGACTTGAATGTGGCCACGGTCTGAAAATGAAGATGCCCAGATAATGGCCCAATTCAAGCTTATGTGGACATCTAGGAAGGCACAGTCAGCACCGTAGAAAATTTAGGTAAATAGAGGTAGGGGTCACAGCTGTTGTGTTGCAGGAAATCAGAGGCTGGATTGGGGGAAGGGATGGATGAATTTGCCAGGGTTATTTTCGCAGGGGTAGGGGGCTGGTCAAATCTTATCAGAATTTCTAAAAACCGGTCTAAGCCAGTCTTTTGTTTTTATTCAGGAGCGACTGTAGAAAATTAGTAAAACCAGGGGCATTGCCATATCCAAGCACCAAAGGCTGAGCACTCCATGGGCCCTTATGAGTAATTATTACCTTCATCTCAAATGTTTGCTGAACTGAAGTTTAGAGATTGTTACATGTTTTGTACAGGCATTCTTTCTCCATCACTAGGAACTGCATTTTCGCCTTATACTTCTTTAGGATCATGTCAGGTAAATAATTTAGCGAATAAGAGCATCTGACATCCTTTTCCCTTGATGTTCACTGGGTTTCTTTAATTACTTGTACTTCACTTACCATATTAATGCCCGCTGATTAACTATAAGGTTATACAGTACATTCTCTGCGCAAAACACTTTTGGAACATCATGTAATATATTAAAATATATATGTAATTATAAAGAATTGAGAAAAATGAAAAGCATGATGCCTCATTTGATTTTTTTGATTTTCACGATGTCACCATCACATTTATGAAATTACAGTTATGACTATTAAAAGCCAATAATTGAAAATATTAGACCAATCTGTGGTTTTCATTGCTAGTGTTATGCATTCACAATTATCAGCTTATTTCTGTGTGACTGAATTAGATTTTAATTGTTACATATCCCCAGTGTAAAGATTTTCCTGCACTTGTCCCTAGTACAGGTTAGCAACAAAAGCAGTTAAGTTACTAGGTTAACTAGAAGATTAAAGGGTGTATACTGTCTTTTTGTTTTATAGCAATACATTTTAAAAAAGATCAGCTTGTTGTAAATACACTTATTTTTGTAAATGTGAACCCCTCAATTCCTTCTTACAGTGCTTGATTTACCAAAGAAGTAGAAATGTTACTAATTTTTCTTAATAAATAAGGTAAAGTTGTGTTCAATATACTGTATATACATAAATATGTTGTTGGAAAAAAAAAAAAAAAAAAAAAACTCTTTTGCTTCCAAGTGTCTGCCTGGATACTTTCGAACCCTTTTGTATATCATCACCTATAAAAATTGGCTAATTTAAAGCAGCTGGTATTTATTTTTTTTTATGTTAAATGTTACATAATGATTATACTGATTAATCTCGTCTTCCTGAGGGCTAATCTGCAAATCTCTTTATTTAAAAAAAATTACAAATATGGAGGAGCATGCAAATAAATATGTGAAAGGCATATTAACATTTACAGTGTATATATATATGTATATTTATTGTATTTTAAGAACACCCCCAAAGGAAATTATCTTTTTTTATTTGGTGTTAATACTGCAGCTGGAGTGCCTCAGCAACCAGCAGTAGGAGGGAAAATGCAAGGATGTAAGGGCATTGATATCTAACAATTATACATCATATTCCCTCAGTCCCTGTATGTCTCTTGCAGCCTGTCTTCAGCCTCTTACCCACTAATTTCTCCTGTAGGATGTCTTCAGCCTTTAACCATCCCCTATAGTATGTCCTCAGTCTCTTATTATCTCCTGTTATATTTCCTCTGCCATTGACCATCTCCAGTAGTATGCCCACAGTCTCTAATTATCTCCTGTAGTATGTCTGCAGTCTCTGAGCATCTACTGTTGCATATCTTCAGTCTCTGACCATGTCCTGTAGTATGTCATCAGTCTTTGACCATCTGCTATGTCATTAGTCTTTGAACATTTTCTGTAGTATGTATGCATTCTTTGACAGTCTTTTGTAGTATTAAATATACCCAATACTATGAATGGCCCCATGATGATGTCAGGTGCTACAGTTAAGGCCTCTAAATCTAGTGATGATAATGAGGTCAGACAATCCCAGACTGTGTGGAAAGAATTAAGAAGTCATACTACACACAGTGTCCCCTCATTATTCTAAATGTTGCAAGTCAGTGACAAAACCATTTTATTTAAATCTGAGCTAGAGCAGGGGGTTGTATAACGTCTAGCAGTATCATAAACAGTACTTAGGGGTCTATTCACGAAGCTGCCGAGGGATTTGGCAGTAGCTTCGGCCGATCCTTCGGCTAGCTTCGGCCCCAGGACCCCTTCGGTTCAGTAGAACCGAGGGGGTGCTGTACAGGCTATTCACAATAGCCCGTACAGCTCCTGATCATGGGCGAGCGGCTCAGTCGAGC